AGAAAAAAACTGGGAAACAAAAATCCTAGTTAACTGTCTCTTAAATTTGACAACTCATCTCCACATATTATTTTCTTTTTTCCTCATGCTACTAACAGTAGCAAAAGGAAATGATGAAATAGCAAATAAAGATGGAAAAAGAACTGCAATAGTAAATGAGCCTACCCACTTGTCAAGCCAAAATAAAGTGTAATTTCCTTTTCCAACCTCCACTTGAGAGCTGCATAAAAAACTTTCAATATTAACAAAGAGATTCCTCCAAAAATGTGATAAAAGAACTACCCTAGAGTATAAAAACTCTGTCCAACTCTTTTTTTTCAAAATATTTATGAAAACTAATTTGTTTCCAAAGACCAGGACTTCCATCAAACCATTTCCAAAACCATTTTCCTAACAAACCTCTATTCATGATCCTCAAATTTATGATTCCCAAGCCACCACAGTATTTAGGTCTACAAACCTCCTCCCATTTAACCAAGTTAGTATATCCTTTATGATCCAAGGACCCAATCCACAAGAATCTTCTTCTTAACTTATCAATTTTATCAATGACCCATGAAGGAAAAAGAAAGAAAGATAACCAAAACATTGGCACAGAGGATAAGACTGAGTTAACTAAAACTAGTCTACCTCCTCTTGATAATGATTTACCTTTCCAAAATGTTAATCTCCTCTCTATTTTTTCAACCAAAGGAAGCCAATCATCTTTTTTTAATTTGCCTGGCCTTAAAGGTACTCCAAGATAAGTGATAGGAAAACTGTCACTTTTACAGTTTAACATAGTAGCCAAATTCTGTTGTAAAGATTCATTATCTTCAAGAGTAATAAGAACACTCTTGTTAAAATTTATTTTCAAACCAGATGCCAATTCAAAGCAATACAATATCAGTTTCAAAACTGTTAACTGTTCTCTTTTATTTTTACAAAAAATCAAAGTTTCATATGCATATTGTAAACAGATCACTTTATGATTCATGCTAACAGGGTCTAAACCCTCAATAAGGTGAGAATTAATTGCTAAAGATAGCATTCTAGTAAAAGAATCAGCCGCCAACACAAAGAGAAGTGGAGATAAAGGGTCTCCTTGACGAACACCACGTTTAGATATAATCTAACTACCAGGTTTACCATTGATATTTATAGCTGACATGCCTCCTTTTAAACACATTTTCACCCAATTAATCCATTTTTCTCCAAATTTTTTAGCTTTGAAAACATCCAAAATAAATTCTCAGTCTAACATATCATAGGTTTTTGCAAAATCCAATTTTAGTAAAATTCCTCCTTTTTTATCATTCTGGAAGCAATCATCAATAATTTCTTGAGCTGCAGCCACCCCATTATGCAAATATCTGTTCTTAATGAAACTAGATTGCACTAGATCAATAAGTCATTCTAGCTTAGAATTCAGTCTATTCGTCAATACTTTAGTAATTATCTTGTAAATCACATTTAGAAGGCTGATAGGCCTATAATCATTAACAGTAAGAGCCTCATTTTTTTTGGAAGAAGAATAATATGAGCATAATTAAGTCTGTTGATTTCTAACTTGCCTTCGTAAAATTCCTCAAAGATTCTCATGATATCCAATTTCACAGTCTCCCAAAAGACTTGAAAAATTGCCTTCGTAAAATTCCTCAAAGATTCTCATGATATCCAATTTCACAGTCTCCCAAAAGACTTGAAAAACAAAGCAGGAAAACCATCAGGACCAGGAGACTTGTCACAATTCATATCAAAAATGGCTTTGTGGATTTCCTCCTTAGTAAAAGGAACTTCAATATCACTAGAACCCCAATCAATTGAAGAGAATAAACCATTCCAGTCAAGCTGACATCTATGAGGCACACAATGACCAAAGATTTGATTATAATGACTTGAAAAAAATCTGTGCTATACCCATCTCAGAGCTCACTTCAATATCATTATATATGACTGAAGATATCAAATTACCTCTTTTTCTACCATTTGCAATTTTATGAAAATAGGCAGTATTATTGTCTCATTCTTTAAGCCAATAAGCTTTTGATCTTTGCTTCCACAATTGTTCTTCTTGAAAAAGAATCTCATTTAGCTGTATGGAGATATTATTTTTTTTTAATCAACTCAACATCATCTAAATCTCTATTCTCCTCTATAACTTCCCATTCTAAAAGATTTTCCAACAAATCCTTCTTTTTTTTGCTTAACACTATAAAATTTTGAGTGCACCCATTGTTTAATGCATTTTCTCATGAATCTCAATTTACCAACAATGTTCTTAGCAGCAGATTCCTTTTTAGGAGCACAACTCCACCAAATAGGTACACCTTTCATAAATTCTTCAGATTGTAACCATATTTTTTCAAATCTAAAAATTTTAACTTATTGTTGACTTTCCCCACAGTCAAAACAAATGGGAGAATGATCAGATAATTGACTACTAAGACCTTGCTGTTTAGAGAAAGGAAAAACATCTTCCCACTCAGAGTTGAAAAAAACTCTGTCAAGTCTAGCCATAACAGGTGAATTTCTTTTGTTTGTCCAAGTAAATTGTCTACCATGTAAAGGACTGTCTATTAATTCCAACTCATTAATCACCTCCTTAAACTTTTCCATGTCTTTTTCTATGATTACTTTTTCCTTTTCTTTCTGCAAAATTAATGGTCATATTAAAATCCCCACCATAACCCAGGGGCCTGAAAACATACTCTTAACATCTTTAAGCTCTTGCCAAAAAAGAGCTCTCTCTCTCTATTACAACGAAGACCATACACAGATGAAATAGTCCATAAAAATTTATTTCTTTTATTTTTTAACAACACAGTCAAAACATATTTACCAGCTGTTTCCTAAATCTTCTTCCATTTGTTATTGTTCCAACCAATCATAATTCCACCAGAGGCCCCAATGGAGGGTATATACTTCTTCCATTTGTTATTGTTCCAACCAATCATAATTCCACCAGAGGCCCCAATGGAGGGTATATAAACCCAATCATACATGTTAATTGTTCCAACCAATCATAATTCCACCAGAGGCCCCAATGGAGGGTATATAAACCCAATCATACATGTTATCACCCAGACTTTTTAAGATATTGTCAGTAACATCACTCAATTTTGTCTCTTGCAAACATATTATTTTAAATTTGTTCAATTGACAGAAGTCTTTAACTCCAAATCTTTTTGTACTCAAACCCAAACCTCTAACATTCCATGTAACCAACATTTGAAGATACAAATCTCCTCAGAATCTAAAAAGAGCCTATTTAAAAGTAGATCTCTCTTGTTCCATCTGCCTTACTTTTTTAAAGGGATCAAATCCCCTTGAGGCTCATGAATGATAGCACATTTAGATGCATATTTTTGCAACTGCTTGTTAGAACAAGCATCAAATAAAATAGGAACAAAATTAGAACCCAAAGTAGAGGAATTTTCACCTGATTCACCAGAAAAAGCTCTCAAATAAAATAGGAACAAAATTAGAACCCAAAGTAGAGGAATTTTCACCTGATTCACCAGAAAAAGCTCATGGAGTAACTTTGTCACTATTTTTCTTTGCAGCTCTTGTAGTGGCCCTGTTCAGAGCAGTCATAGGTTCCATAACCACAAATCTTGAGCACTCTCCTGACAAAAGTAACCTTTGAAATAGTTTCAAACTCTGTAGCAGGCAAAGAGTTTAAAGGCTGAATAAAATGTACGTCTTCTTCCTTATCTGTAGGGGGCAAAGAGTTTAGAGGCTGAATCATAGGAATATCTTCTTCCCTCTCTGAATTTTCATCATTGCTGAAATGTACTGGAAGGGCTAACCATTTATTAATTTCATTATTCTCCTCAATCTTGGCAAATTTGACTCCCCCTTCCTCTGAAATTTCTTTCCCTTTATAATCTGACTTGTTCTCCCTGGTAGGAGACACATAAATCTTCTTTTCAGCATTAATCTCCATTTCCACCTCCTTATCCTTGCCTTCATCAATTTTTATTAATTGTTCAGAGAACGTTTCAACCCCATTAACTAACATCTGTTCTGGCTATTGCTCAACATCAAAGACTTTTAGTATATTGCATCAGTCCACAATCTAGCAGCAGGAGAACCCCATGGTTTATTTCTCAGATCCTGTTTAACATTCCATGAACTAGTTTCAGAATCTTTCAAAGAAGAAGAACCAGATCCACTTTCCTTTCTTCCTTTAAACCACTTATCATGATAAGAACTTTGATTGGTGTCCTCCCAATGACCCACCTTCTGTTTTTTCTTTTCTCCTACATCAAATTCCCCCATGATAGACATGATAGAGACCTCAATGTTATACTGATTTTTTCCAACAAAATCCAACATAATTGGTCTCTCAAATCGTTTAAATTGCTAGCAGGACCCTCAATTCTTCTTATAGGTCGTCTAAGTCATTTCAAATTATGGAACTTGCTAGCAGGTGCTCCATTTGAGGTCTCTAAATGCTATTAGTTGTCACAAATCAACCCCGTTAGTCAAGAATACAATAACATGATATAGAAATGGGCAACCTGGTGCAATTTCAAAACTTTGATGGACTAATTTCAAAATTTATGTGAAAATATAGGAAAATCCAAACTTCAAATTTTATGGTGCAATTTCAAAACTTTGATGGATTAATTTCAAAATTTATGTGAAAATATAGGAAAATCCAAACTTCAAATTTTATTTTCATAGAAAGCGGAAAACCAGATGATACTAAAGCTGTGCAAATGAAAATATGGGTACAATATTTTGACTCGTTTTGCTAAAAAAAGAAGAAGATGTGCCCTAGGAAAAACGAGGAAAGAACATAATTTGGGAAGATAATAATATACTTCAATTGCTAGAGACATTTTTGGCGATCCTGTGAAAAGCGTTAAATTTTTGGGGTGTTGTTTCGAAGTTCCCAAAAGTTTCGGGGGTTTCATGAAATTTACCTTCTGCATCGGGTATCTGGGTCGGGTACAGACGCAATCCGAAACCCAAGTCGTCGAATCGTGAACCCTAAACTCAAATCCGACGACCAGAGATCATCCGAGGACCCATATATAACCCCAAAGCAAAGCGCCTCCATTTTATTCTCTCGATCCAAGCTAGGGTTTTTAGGGAGGAGTCCGTTCGAGGAAGAAGGTAATGCTTTTCTCCAAAACCCTAACTCGTCATCTGAAATATACTTGCACAAGCTTTTCTATGATTAGATTTACTTTCGTTATATTTTCTATGTTTTTCTTCATTTTTTTTCCTTGTGTTTGACAAATGCTTGTGTTCGCTTGATCTACTTCCTGCAGTTGTTTGATAGTGAAGATTGCTCAAATTTCCAGATGGCTCCTCCGGTTAAAGGTACGTTCTTTTAAACTTTTGATGAATGTAAATCAAATCATTTCTTGTTACCCAAATATTGATTTGTTTGATAACACTAGTTCCTTATATTTCACATTAAAAGCTTATGATCCTAATTTGTATAAAAAGAATTATTTAATACCCTTAAAATTTTACTGATTTTTCTGCTTTGATACTCTGAAATTTAAATTGATCCGAAAATACTCCTAAGCTTTTAAGTTGTACCAGAGAAATAGATATTGAAACATGAAAATGTTACATTTCATTATGCGTACTATATGTTAACTAATGAAAGTATTCTAGGGAATTTTTCTTTGCATAGCATATAACAAAATTTAGTAGTAGAAGTTAGAACATAACTCTATCCGTTTGATCATTTCCTTCTACCCTCTACTTTAGCACATAAAAGAACTCATAGCACATATGTTATGTTTTATGCTGTAGCAAATTTAGATGTGTATAATTCATGGAATTTTCTTTTTATATTAAATTTATCATAATTTCTAGAAACATCTTTAGTTGTATTTTATTCTACTTTTATGTCAAATCGTATATAATGGTCAAGTATGGGATACGATTAACCTTTTTTATTTGAAAAAATAGAACGAGAAAAGAAGAAAGAGAAGAATCTCTTACGCAGAATCACCATTTTACCATCCAGAATATATGAAAGAATGAACAATATGCCCACCTTCATGCATTTTTCCATGCCCTTTTTAGTTCATTGTATAGTAGAATAGATGTTTTGTTTTCATATAGAAACATGTAAATCTTTTCCCCTTTCCATGCTGATTAGTATAAATAAAGATTTTAATTTTATTCTGTTTTATTATTATTGCTTTTTTACTTCAATATGTTTTGATCCTTATGCCCTGTGCTCTCTCTTGGATGAGGTATATTTTTATACGCAAGCATTTTGTTGTGCTTATTAATAATCAAAACTGAGATAAAATTATATTAGTATCCATGGTAGGAAGTATATGGCTAACAATTGTTCAGTGTAGCACATAGAGTTTTATGCATTGACGACAGTATTCCAACTACTATGGCAAGCGCAATGGAGATGATATGTACAAATCCTTCTTCTTGCTGCTGTAATAACATATAATTTACAAATGTGTGTTCTAAGAGACTAGGTAGCTGCAATCATAATGGAAATTAGTCACACAGCTTAAAAGCTTACGTGAAACAGCATTGGTTCTACGTGATTGCATGAGCCTCTTTGCATTATTAAAAAAACAATACAAGTATAATTCTATTCAATACAACAGAAATATGGCCACGACTGAACTAGAATTTAATTGTTATTCACGTGACAGTACTGCTGCTTTATTGACAGATCAGTTGTAACTAGTTATAGTGATATCACACCTGGAGACATATGTGTTGATTGATGATTAATGTATGTGATAGGTCTTTGTTAATGAGTTCACCATTGCTGGTGTTCTTGTTTTCTATTCATAGTATGTATTAAGTATCGAGGAAAGTTATTGAAGTAATAAAATGTCCCCCCTTTGCTGTTACCATCAAAATTCCCCTTCGCCGGTTTCCATTTCAGGTTTTTGGGTGCCTCTGCAGTACCCTTGATGGAAAAGCCAAGGGTCAAAGTCCTCCTCAAGTGATCAACTGGCCTTTTGAGTTGTCATACATTTCTAGTACTAGCTATTTCTCGATTGCAGTCTTTGGGTTCTTTGTACTGTATTAAGATGTGTGGTCTTGTTGGTACAAAATATTAATTCTTAATTTTCATGCACTATTTTGACTAAGTGCTGTTGTTTGCATGATTCATTTCATACTTCAATCTTTTTTAATTATATATAAGATATATCATATAGTTTATTTTATCAAAAGAGTGATGCCCAAACTTTGCTAAAGTCTATTTAACTCTCTCACACTGGAAGTTGCGACCTCATAGGCTTCTGACATGGATATATGTTTTTATTTTGGTGCAGCTACCAACAAAAAAACTGACGCCAAGGCACAGGCTGTAAAAGTTGCCAAAGCTGTGAAGACGGGAGCTTCAAGCATAAAGAAGAAAACAAAGAAGATCCGCACATCTGTGACATTTCACCGCCCCAAGACATTGAAGAAAGATAGAAACCCTAAGTACCCCAGAATTAGCGCACCTCCGAGGAACAAGCTTGACCATTATCAAATTCTCAAGTACCCTTTAACTACTGAGTCTGCTATGAAGAAGATCGAGGACAACAATACCCTTGTCTTCATTGTTGATATCCGAGCAGACAAGAAGAAGATCAAAGCAGCAGTGAAGAAGATGTATGACATCCAGACTAAGAAAGTGAATACCCTCATCAGGTTAGTAGTTCATTTTGTTAGTTCTAGTGCATTGTACTTTAGTTTTGATTAAGATTTATGGGTAGGTTTTTTTAATGATTCCTTTTTTATCTATATATTGCTTGTAACAGGCCTGATGGTACCAAGAAAGCTTATGTGAGGCTCACTCCTGATTATGATGCTCTGGATGTTGCAAACAAGATTGGCATTATTTAAGTGGAAGAGAGTTTGTAGTTGATTTTGTTTTCAGATTACATTTTGTAGTTTTAATTGTTGAGCTCTAAACCAGTCCTTAATTTCAAACCTTGGATGCTTCTAGTTTCGGTTAAACTAAACCACCCGAAAGTAGATTCTGTATTTTTATTTGAACTGGTTTTAGGCATTGCTGCTTGATAATTTTGCTTCTGTTGTTGTGTTACACACATCACTGGCCTATGTTTCTGTGGTTGATGTTGTTGGAGCAGCTTGGGGGCTGGCTTGATTGATTACTTGAATGATCCCTGGATGTGCATTTTTCATTGCTTGAATGCGATCTTCTTGTTGCGCATAATTTCTGAGTTCAAAGAGATCGATCTTCTCTAAGAAAGTGGTGGTTCTGTTACAGGGTGTTTAGATTTGATTTGTTCTTTTAGTGATTTATATGTTAAATCTTGCCTTGATTCTTTTGCAATTAGTCTTTAATCTTGATATTTGAATATTGGGCCAGTCAATTTGGTTGTTATTTCCTTGTTTAATCATAAAGGCAGCCATTTAAATAGTTAACTAAAGTCATCAAGACAGCCATTACCTTTAGGAGTACTACGTGGACATGAAATCCATTTGGTCAAGAATTGAACTTGTTAAGTATCTTTATAAGTTGAGAGGAAGGAGCAGGGAAAAAGGAGGAGGGCGATAGGTATCTTTAGCTAGTAAGCTTGAGACATGCAGAACTACGAATAATTGAAATTTTAAGCAGCATATTAACCTAAGATCCTTAGCTGCGAAGTCAGAATGGGTGAATCAATATAACAACTTTACATTAAAAAAGCACCAAACAAAATCTGAAGCCATAACATGTGCTAAGGAAAATCTATGATGTCCATACATAATTTTTTATTTACAAAATTAACAATCTACCTTCAATTGGCCCGCAGAAAATAGCATCTATTTCCTTTGATCATTACAGGTTCATAATCATTAGCTGGATTAGTGCTAAAATCTTCTAAACAAAAATGGGCATAGAAAAGTAGCAAAAAGATTTAAGTTCTTATTCAAATCTTGTGATAATATGTGCTGATGTCAGTTATCAAATAGGGGGATATCCGATAGATTGTGGAGTGATTAGGGTTCATTAACTTCTTCTGATGAATGGTTCTGGGGCTTGTTGTTTTTTACTGCACATGAAAGAACTCGTAAGTGGGCGGAGTTGGGTTCTTCGATCGTTCCTCTGATGATCAAGTCAATGGATGATCTTGAGTGAGGAAATATAGAATTAGCTTTAGTTATGTCCCTAAAAAAATCAGAGAGAGTTACCTTATGTAGTGTCGTTCCTTTTATAGTGGGTCTGAGGGGCAAAAAGATAACTTTGGCCGAGTCTGGCTAGGCAGCTGACTCGACAGACATATGGTACGCGTCAGTTGCTGAAGGATGTGAGTCACCTGGTCATTTATTATGAGAATGATAGCAGGTGCTCCGTGTTGACTGGGTCCGATAAGTCATAAAGGCTATGGGGACAAGAGCAATGATGATGTTGTCAGGGCAGTTAATGCGAGAGTAGCCGGCTGGCGAGGGGTTCAAGGTAACCATCATCTTTCGACTCCTCAGGTCCAGGGCCGAGAAACATCGCCTTTTGACTCGGTTACACAAGATGTCGGCCAAACAGTGAGCCGAGTCAGACCGCTTGTGGAATTAATTGAGGGGTTAGCCGAGTAGTACCGTTTTTTTGACTCGGTTACGCGAAATGTCAGCCGAAAAGTGCATTGTGCTGAGGCGGATGTTATCTTGGTGTTGAATTAGTCGAGTGAGGTATAGTATAAGACACGTGTCGACTTCTCTGTGGAGATATTTAATAATTTTAGGGCTATAACAAACGGTAACTTTAACAAATATTGTAACAACTAACAAACACTTGTCTCAGTTATATAAGTATATTTATCAATTACATATTTTAATTTTTTTTATTCCTTAACCTTCGAAATATTAGGAACCCTTATCTTATGTTTAACATTTATCAGAAAAACTCATTTTAACTTCTAAATTTTTGTCAAAAAGCCCCCTCCTAACACCGTTACCTGGAATTTTCACGTAGGAGATACTCTGCCAGTGAAAAATGTTGCTCACGTTTTTAGGAGGTTATGAAATTATTAAACTTTGTGATAAAAGTTTTTTTTAAAATATTTCGAATAAAGGGTTTATGCCTGGAATTTAGCTTATGTTTTTCTGCATTTATTGTCGGTGCTTCTCTTAATACTTGGTCCCACTGGCTACTTGTGGGCCTTCTCATCAATCCAATCAATTAAAAGTTACAACCCAAACCCCTTGGCTTTGGCTCAATCGTAAATACGATGCTACACTAGGGCTTTTAATGAAGCTTCTGCAGTTTCTGTCAGTTTGAAAAATAGAAGCAACCCCAATTAATTCCACGTGTCAAAATCTCAACGGACCCCAATCTCTTTCACCTTGACTTCTCGCCATCCCCTATATATCAGCCAACCCCCAGCGCCACCCTAATTGTAGTACTGCT